AAACAGTTCAATACAAGAGGGTTAGGAGGGCCCTGCTCCTTGGCACTTACAATCTAAGAGGGAGGGGCTGGTGGTACAAAAGGTAATAACTGGGGGATGAAAATATAGGAGGAATAGAAGATTCCGTTATTAGCTGAAGGCAGGCAGTTTTCAGAGATCACCTAAAAGTGGGCAGAGTAGGCGATAGTGGGATAGATTAGGGTAGAGAGTTCCAGAGGATGGGAGAGGCTCTGGAGAAGTCCTGGAGATGAGCATGGGAGGAGGAGACAAGGGAGCTAGAGAGCAGGAGTGGAGAGGATGGTTTGGGTGATAATTGTAGACAAGATTGGTGATGTAATTTGGGGTAGAGTTATAAATGACTTTACAGTATATGTTATTGTTAATGTTTTGAATTTTATTCATTGGGCAATGGGAGTCAGTGGAGGGATTGGCAGAGAGGGATGGCAGATATGGAATGGTTAGTAAGGTGGATGAGTCTGGCAGCAGCAATCATGATAGACTGAAGATTAGGTTGGCCAATGAGGAGGGAAGTACAATAGTCAAGGCGAGAGAAAACAATGAAGTGAAAATGTTGCTTAGTGGTTTCAGAGGTTAAAACGTGGTGTATCTTGGAGATGTTACGGAGGTGAAGTCTACAAGGTTTGGACAGTGATTGGATTTGGGGCTGAAAGGACAGATGGGAATCTAGGATTACACCTAGTACCCTAGCATCAGGGACTGATGGTTGTATTATTGATCTTGATGGAGAAGTCAGGGGGGGGGGCACGGGCTGAAAAGAAAAGTATAAGCTCTGTTTTGGAAAGATTTAGTTTGAGGAAGTGGAGTGACATCCATGCCGATATGTCACTTAGTAGGTTAGTAATGCGAGAGGAGACTGAAGAGGTGAGGTGAGGGGTATAGAGATGGTACTTAAAGCCGTGGGAGTTTATCACGTGACCAAGGGAGGAGGTGTAGATGGAGAAGAGAAGGGGTCCAAAGACAGAACCTTGATGGACCCCTACAGAAAGAGGAAGTGAAGAGGAGGAGACAGAGTTATAGGTAATGCTGAACGAGCGCTGCGATAGGTAGGAGGAGAACCAGGAGAGAGCAGAGTCTCAGAGGCCAAGAGAGTGGAGTTTTTTTGGAGGAGGAGGGGATGGTCAACAGTATCAAAAGCCACAGAGAGGTCAAGTAGTAAGAGTATGGAGCAGTGGCCATTGGTTTTAGCAGTTAGTAAATCATTAGTGAGTTTTAGTAGGGCAGTTTCGGTGGAGTGTAGTGAGCAAAAGCCAGATTGTAAGGGGCCAAGAAGGTTGTTAGTGAGGTAGGAACTCAGGCGATTGTAGACTAAGCGTTCTAGGAGTTTAGAGGTAAATGGCAGCAGGGAGATGGGTCTTAAGTTGTTCATGTTGGTGGGGTCCAGGGAGGGTTTTTTGAGTATGGGAGTGATCTGTGCATGCTTTAGAGGGGTGGGGAAGGGCACCATTAGAGAGGGAGTGATTGAAGATGCGAGTGAGAGTGCATAGGATAGAAGAAGAGGCTGACCGTAGTAGTTGAGAGGGGACAGGATCCAAGGGCACGTGGTGAGATGGGCTTCTGAGAAAACTTTAGTGACCTCTTCGGTAGTAGCAAGGTCAAAAGAGGAAAGTGTTGAGGGAGGTTTAGTACAAGGTATGTTAAGTGGGATGAATGTCTGTGCAGTGGAGATGCCCCTACGAATTGCATCAATCTTATTTTTCAAATGATTTGCAATCTCGTATGCAGTGAGTTACTGGGTGGAGGCATTAGAGAGTTAAAAGTAGAGAAGAGATGACGAGGACTGGATGACAAGCTATTGATGAGAGTGACAAAGTAGGCTTGTTTGGCAGCATGAAGGGAGGAATTGTATGTTAAGAAAGCAGATTTATATCGGGTGAATTCTTGCTGAGATTTGGTTTTACGCCACAATCGCTCCAGTGCATGACTATGTCTCTTAAGATTTCTGGTATCGTCAGTCTGCCAAGGTTGTAATGGTAGGGGCCTGATATTTTGTGTAGTTAGTGTGGATGAAAGCAAACTGTTGTAGACAGCAGTGTCCAGGTCAGGGCAGGACAGGGGAGAGATTCTGTCAGAGTTGGTCAGTTGCAGAGTGGAAAGGAGCAGGGATAAAGTTGTGGTTTCTGTGGGTAATTGTTTGCTGCTTGGAGGGATAGGTGTTTGAATTCGAGGACACTGAAGGTGATGAGATTGTGATCAGAGAGAGGAAAGGGGGTGTTTGTGAGGTTGTAGGGAGTGCAAAGATGGGAGAAAACAAGGTCTAATGTATTCCCATCAGAGTGAGTGGAGGACTGTATCCATTGTTGTAAGGCAAAAGATGAGGTTAGGTGGAAGAGTTGGGATGTAGCCGGGTTGTTGACTTTAATGGGGATGTTAAAATCTCCAAGAATGATAGTGGGTAGTTCAGAGGAGAGAAAGTAGGGTAGCCAGGCGGGGAAATCATCAAGAAAGCGGGACACCGGTCCAGGAAGACGATAGATCACTGCAATCCTCAGAGAAATTGGAGAAAACAGCCGAATGCAGCGAGTCTCAAAAGAAGAGAAGGATAGAGAGGGAGGGTTATGGAGGACTTGAAAGGTGCTCAGTGGGGATAGAAGCAAACAAACCCCTCCTTTCTGACCACTGGGTCTGGGTGAATGAGTCCAGAGGAGGCCTCCATAGGAAAGTGCTGCGGGAGAAGCAGACTCTGATGCTTGAAGCCAGGTTTCTGTAATTGCTAGTAGGTTAAGGGAGCGGGAGACAAAAAGGTCATGGACAGAGGTGAGATTGGTACAGACAGAGCGGGCATTCCAGAGTGCACATGAAGAAGGGAGGGTGGTTTTTAGAAGCAGGGGGATTGATATTAAATTGAGTGGATTGTGACTATTCCTGGAGGAAGGAGGGTGCCTGATGTGGGGGTGACATACTGGAGAACCAGGGTTTGGGGAGATATTAGAAGATGGAGGGGTGAGGAAAGTAACATGGGAGTGGGATGTAAATGAGTGAACATGCCTTCCTGTCCTGGTATTTGGGTCAGCAGGTGGGATTGGTAGGAGGTGATGAGAGCAGTAGTAGGGAGATGGTAGCAGTGAGGGTGATACGTATAAGCTTTGGAGTGGAGCAGAGGGGTAAAGAAATTAGATTTTGAGAACAGAGGACATTAATATGAAAAGGAGGAGTAGAGGGGGCATATTAAAAGGTTGATAGAGCAGGAATCAGACTTGTAGATGTTTCCCAGGGCATTTTCTTGCAGTCCATCCAACATGCAGTAGAATTGTTAGCTGTATCTTCCTGCTGTGTTCAACTGCTGTTTTGCACTCACACAGGAAAATGCCCCTGTCTGCAACCCTACACTCCCTTCCCCTGTAAGCTGGTCTAAATTTATAGGCAGATGGTCAAATGAGCAATTCTTCTCCGCCGAAATTAGGAACTGATAAGGATCACATGAATTGGGGGGGAGGTTGGTCAAAACCACATCAGCAGCATACACAGGCCAGGGTAATAAAAGATGATTGATTCTCTGATCACAGAAAGGCAAAAGGAGGTGAGAATCAACCACCACAAACAGACAAAAAAATACAGGACTAATCTTCTGAGTTTTGCAGAAAGTCAGTAGCAGGGAGACAGTTTAAGGTGGAGAACACACCGCAGGGTCCGGGGAGACCAAATATAGTGAATGCAGGGTCCGGGGAGACCAGATATAGTGACTGCAGGGTCCGGGGAGACCAGATATAGTGACTGCAGGGTCCGGGGAGACTAGATATAGTGACTGCAGGGTCCGGGGAGACCGGATATAGTGACTGCAGGGTCCGGGGAGACCGGATAAAGCGACTGTGGGGTCCGGGGAGACCGGATATAGCGAATGCGGGGTCCGGGGAGACCGGATATAGCGAATGCGGGGTCCGGGGAGACCGGATATAGTGACTGCAGGGTCCGGGGAGACCGGATATAGTGACTGCAGGGTCCGGGGAGACCGGATAAAGCGACTGTGGGGTCCGGGGAGACCGGATATAGCGAATGCGGGGTCCGGGGAGACCGGATATAGCGAATGCGGGGTCCGGGGAGACCGGATATAGTGAATGCGGGGTCCGGGGAGACCGGATATAGCGAATGCGGGGTCCGGGGAGACCGGATATAGCGAATGAAGGGTCAGGGGAGACCGGATATAACGAATGCAGGGTCCGGGGAGACCGGATATAGCGAATGCAGGGTCCGGGGAGGAGCGAATGCAGGGTCCGGGGGATATAGCGAATGCAGGGTCCGGGGGAGAGCGGATATAGCGAATGCAGGGTCCGGGGAGACTGGATATAGCGAATGCAGGGTCCGGGGAGAGCGGTTATAGCGAATGCAGGGTCCGGGGAGACCGGATATAGCGAATGCAGGGTCCGGGAAGACCGGATATAGCGAATGCAGAGCCCGGGGAGACCGGATATAGTGAATGCAGGGTCCGGGGAGAGCGGATATAGTGAATGCGGGGTCCTGGGAGACCGGATATAGTAAATGCGGGGTCCGGGGAGACCGGATATAGTGAATGCGGGGTCCGGGGAGACTGGATATAGTGAATGCGGGGTCCGGGGAGACCGGATATAGTGAATGCAGGATCCGGGGAGACCGGATATAGTGAATGCAGGGTCCGGGGAGAGTGGATATAGTGAATGCAGAGTCCGGGGAGGCCGAATATAGTGAATGCGGGGTCCGGGGAGAGCAGATATAGTGAATGCGGGGTCCTGGGAGACCAGATATAGTGAATGCAGAGTCCGCGGAGAGTGGATATAGTGAATGTAGGGTCCGGGGAGACCGAATATAGTGATTGCAGGGTCCGGGGAGACCGGATATAGTAAATGCAGGATCCGGGGAGACCGGATATAGTGAATGCAGGGCCCAGGGAGAGCGGATATAGTGAATGCAAGGTCCGGGGGAGACCAGATATAGTAGATGCAGGGTCCGGGGAGACCGGATACAGTAAATGCAGGGTCCGGGGAGACCAGATACAGTAAATGCAGGGTCTGGGGAGACCGGATATAGTGAATGCAGGGTCCGGGGAGAGCGGATATAGTGAATGCAGGGTCCGGGGAGAGCGGATATAGTGAATGCAGGGTCCTGGGAGACCAAATATAGTGAATGCAGGGTCCAGGGAGACCGGATATAGTGAATGCAGGGTCCGGGGAGAGCGGATATAGTGAATGCAGGGTCCGGGGACACCGGATATAGTGAATGCAGGGTCCGGGGACACCGGATATAGTGAATGCAGGATCCGTGGAGACCGGATATAGTGAATGCAGGGTTCAGGGAGACCAGATATAGTGAATGCGGGGTTCGGAGAGACCAGATATAATGAATGCAGGGTCCGGGGAGAGCGGATATAGTGAATGCAGGGTTCGGGGAGACCAGATATAGGTAATGCAGGGTCCGGGCAGAGCGGATATAGTGAATGCAGGGTCCTGGGTTTAGTAACACTTGAAACTCTACAATGATAACCTGTAAAGCCTTTTATAGTGTCACCAACTGACAATTTTCAGGCTCCGTAGTTTGTTGCCATTTTACGGGCATGCACAATTTTAAATCTTGACATGTTTGGTACTTATTGACTCTACACGTCATCATAATATATATTTTACCTAAAAGCTGGCTATTTCGTTGTTTGTGCGCGCTAAAATTCATTTCAGGTTATCCATGAAAACGTTCGTTAGATATGCGGCTGTGCAAATATCATGCAACATAAAAGATTGCAAGTTCATTCTCCAGGGCCTCTGCTTTTGGAAATTATATCATCGTTTGGGGGTTCTAAGTCATTTTCTAGCAAAAAATGCTGATTTTTATTTGTATGTGAGAAATGTTGAAATATCCCCAGATGGCAAGTGGTTAAAGTAATGAAGCCAGGGGACAAGCATCACAGCCAGGGGATTAGCATTTTCAGGAGAGAAGCCTCCACATTACTCAGTACTGATTCCCTGACACCAGGGGTCCTGCTACATTCCCAGGTACCGTGCTGTTTACTATTGAAATGAATGGAGTAATGTACATTCGCTCCAATATAATAACACCCTGCTAAGAGTAGCCATAGTGCCTCATCCTTGTCCTTCTCCATAGTCCTCCCATCCCTCCCAGGTGCCTCCACAGCCCCCATCCCACCCAGGTGCTTCCACATCCCTATCTGTGAGCAGAGTCGGCAATCCTTACTATCGGCGATCGTCTCCACCACCTGAAGCGCGTCACATGACCCCATCTGCCTGGGTGTACTTCAATCCTGTGCCGAAGTCGCTCTCCTCTTCCGGGTGTAGGAAGATGGCGGCGCCCAGCGGCGAATAACAACACACAGGTGGTTTGACATAACAGCACGTAAGTGTCTCATTTATTCTGATTTATAGGAGCTGTTTTGTTTTTTAGGATGTTGTAGTGTAAAATCAGTCATAATTAGGATATGCAGCAAAATATGTCTTCAGGTAAATGCAAACCTAAATTCTAAAACCTCATGTGAACTTTAACATGTTCTTGTTATTTTAAAAGGCACTTTCGTTCTCTTTAAATCTGCAAGTTTCATAAAAGGAATAGCTGAATATCCCTGCCATGATGGTCCTGGTACTTCCTGTTATAGGGTGACAACCAGGGATGAGCCCAGGTGTGTCCAATCCCAACCCAAGTGAGTGATCCAGCCGGGAAGCTGGCAGCTGTACTGGGCCAGTTATCTGTGGCTGGGGCATTGCCCTCCTCGCAGCCACATGTAAACAAGGGGGATGTATACTTGCAGCTGTTGGGGGAGGGGATACCTTGGCTGAAGGTGTTTGACCGCTGATGACAGCTTCCTGGCCGGGTCACTTACTTGGGTTGGGATTGGATCCAAACATGCCCAAGCTTCATCTTTAGTGACAACGCTCTGTCCCTGTCTTGGAGTTGTACTCCTGGGATGTCACTCTCTCAATGTAGACTGTACATCAATTAGCTATAACTTTATGACCACCCACCTACAGCCCCAGGGTGGATTCCATTGACATTGGCGGGGATCAGTCTGTTTATCTCCCGCTGATCAGAGCAGAATGGGTGGATGAGCATACACAGAGCCCACTCTGCTCTTTCGGTGCCTAAGAGTAAACAGACTCCGCTGTCCGTTTACACCCATCTGCCCTCTGATCCAATCCTTTTAGATGGAAGGGAACGGATCCCCTTTCATTTTTTTTTGTTTTGTTTAGCGGACTGGATCAGATTGGTGGTAGGTGGTTGGAAACAGACACAAGTTTGTTTACACCCGCCAGTCCATGAGGTGAATGGACTGTCTGATCAGGTCCATCTGAAAAACAGACACGTGCACCTGCTTGGAACCGCTGTGTGAAAGGGGACAAAGGCTTAGAAAATAAACTGCAAGGGACCATTTTTATTTCCCTGGAACTCATTTTAAGGAACCTGTTCACACCAGGTACGTGGGACTGTGCTGGGCAACCTTGCCCAACATGGTCCCAGTGCAAGACAAGGCAAAAAAAAAAAAGCTTGATCCTTACGCTAGCCAGTAGGCTAGTTCACACAACTGTGCTGCGGTGGTGTGTGCTGAAAAAAAGTGTAGCATGGAGTACTTTTTTTTGTTTTTTTTTTTGTTTTCCCTCAGCGCAGCATCGTGCAATGCAGTCCACCACATATCACCTGCCAATAGAATGTAATGAAAGTTCACACACAAAAAAGAGGGGTGGAATCAGCAATATTTTTCCAGTGCTCCCCAACAGTTGTGCGTTTAGTTTGGCTGCTGATGTGAACAAGACCTTGCTCCCCCTGTTTCTGTAAAGTAGCACAGCTTTGAATTACTCCCACTTACAGAGGAATACATCTAATCTTCTATGTCTGTGTTTTCTTCTAGTTTCAGAATGGACTTCCTGTGGCTTTTCATCCTCTATGTTTCTGTTCTTGTTCTTTTTATTTCCATTTACTGCTGCTTATCAGGAAGATCCAGGAGCAGATTGGACAGCGTGTTCTACAGAGCTGAAGAGGTGAGACAGTTTTTCCAATACCAACCTAAGGACAATGTCGGACAAGTATTTTGAACACAAGAAACTTTATTTAGGAGAAATTTGTCCTTGCTGCTGGTAGCAACTAGTCAGATTGATTCTATCACTTATGTATACTGACATGGATGAATAAAAGGAAGAAAAAAGAATAATCTTTGCATCCGCAATACAGGTTGGAGATGCACCTCTTGCATTGTTTTGACCAATGTAGTCAGTGTGGTAAAACCAGATAAGATAGGTAGTCTCCAGCACTTCAAGAATGCCCACTTCCACGTCCACTTCAAACAGTGTCACGTTTTATTTATTTCAGGTACTTATATAGCGCCGTCAATTTACGCAGCGCTTTACATATACATTATACATTCACATCAGTCCCTAACCCTCAAGGGGTGTACAATCTAAGGTCCCTAACTCACATTCATACATACACATACTAGGGACAATTTAGACAGGATCCAATTAACCTACCAGAATGTGGGAGGAAACCGGAGTACCCAGAGGAAACCCATGCAGGCACAGGGAGAACATGCAAACTCTACAGTCTTCTTCTAGAGAGTGCTTTTATTTATTTATTTCAGGTACTTCTATAGCGCTGTCAATTTACGCAACACTTTACATATATATTGTACATTCACATCAGTCCCTTAGTCTCAAGGGGTGTACAATCTAAGGTCCCCTAACTCACATTCATACATACACATACTAGGGACAATTTAGACAGGATCCAATTAACCTACCAGCATGTCTTTGGAGTGTGGGAGGAAACCTGAGTACCCACAGGAAACCCACGCAGTCACAGGGAGAACATGCAAACTCCAGGCAGGTGGTGCCATGGTTGGGATTTGAACCAGCGACCCTAGTACTGCCAGGTGGAAGTGCTAACCATTTAGCCACTGTGCTGCCCATCACATAAGTCATAATAACCAACATTTCAGGGCCTTGCAGGGTCCCTATGTCAAGGTGACTTAGATCTTATGAGGACATGAAATATTGGCTATTATGACCTATATGGAACTCCTTTTTTTTTTTTTTTCCACACTGATTGGAACAAATGGATATTCTTGGAATGCTTCTGACATTTTAATATTTTGTGTAGCACTGCAGTTTTTGGTCACTGTGCATAGCAGTATCACCAGAGGTATACAGGGACTGCCAATGCTGACTTGACAATGCTAGTTGCCTGGTTATTATCCTAAACAACTGTCTTCAAAAGTGTCACTGACCCAGAAAAAGTATCAAGAAATTAAAGGACGAGACCTAAATCCTTTATAAACATGCTTGTTTTGGGTTTGTGACCCAAAGTATTAAAGCCAAAGGGTTCGTGACAACCCACCAACTAGCATTTTCAGAAGGTCAGCAATGATGGCCTCCATGTTTATCTCAAAACAAGTTTCCTTTAAGTAAATTTTTAAAGGTGAACTCTGGGTCCATGCAGATATGTAAATATTATCCACAAAGAATATAAATCCACTTTGTGCACCAAATTCTCTTGCACAACCCATTATTATCTTTTTAAAGCAGTGATATCACCCTGTGTTACATGTAGACTGTGTAGAGAGCATTGCTTTGGCTGAGATCCAGAAGGTTCTTTTGGCCTTTTATCCGCCCCCCCACTTCTAGTTGGTCACTCTGCACAAGAAGAGGGAGTGGTCTTTATCCTCCTAGATTGTAAGCTCCTAGGATCAGGCCCTGAAATCCCTCTTGTATTGAACTGTATTGTTGCTGTATTGTCTCCCGTTATATTGTAAAGTGCTGAGCAAACTGTTGGCGCTATATAAATCCTGTATAATAATAATATATAAATCCTGTATAATAATAATAATATAAATCCTGTATAATAATAATATAAATCCTGTATAATAATAATATATAAATCCTGTATTATAATAATATATATAAATCCTGTATAATAATAATATATAAATCCTGTATAATAATAATATATAAATCCTGTATAATAATAATAATTATAGGAAGCTCCTCCATAGAGACAGTGTTGTGGGTAGTCCTCCGACAACTGGCTAAAGAATCTTCAGTGTCCGACATACTTCCTGGAGTGTCAAATGCCTTATGTCCCACAGCACTCTGTGGCATTGATGAAGAGGTCAATGGATGAAATCTAGCACACAGCAGGGGACCAGGCTGAAGATTCTTCACCAGCTTAGCATTTTAAGGGGGCAAAAATTGGCAGTGAGGGCAACAAGACAGTCAAGTATTTACACTCTACTTTTTAGGAAGTCCTTTTTTTTTCCCATTTTAAAAGTTTAATCTGCGGAAGAGTCACTTTCAAGTTTAGAGATAAGATGGTCCTTTACCAGACAGATCCCATGTTAACCCAACATACATGAAGAGAAGACTGGCATATCAAGTAAACATGAAGTCTACCATTCTCTGATCCAAACAACCAGATCCTTGTATACCCATTTTTTTTTTTTTTTTTTTTTT